GTCTGCCCCAGGGGAAGGACCCCGGCGGCTGCTGTGCTCGGCTGGGATTGATGAGGGGATGTGCCAACTGCGAGCTGAAACGTACAGAGAGATGCGTTCTACAGCTGGGAAAGTAGTGCCGTGAGCTCGGGTCCAGGGCGCTTGTTTGTCAGTTTCAGCGCTGCTCTGTTAACAAACCAGTTCTGGCAACATTTGTGGGTTCTATTACCCTTAACTCCTAGGTCTGTCAGCTGGTTTTCGTTCCCTCTTCATAAAAAAACCCCAAACAACCCTAAAACTAGTTCTGAGGAGGAAAAACTTCCGAATGCGGCTATGACACACATGCCTGCAGGTGTTTTGTACAAATTGTGTGTAATTGAATCGCTTTTGTGTGGTTGAGTACTCCTTTACCAGTCTAAACAAACACGCTGTTGTAAAGTTCATTCAGTTTCTTCTGTTTGCAAAGAATCACTTATTTCTGTGTTGGTTGAAACATAATAAAGTATTTAGGTTTATTTTCCTTATAGTTAAAACCACATCTTTGCATGGGCTGAGGTATAGAGATTGCAGTGTAGGGGTGTTTCATCTTTTCTACTTCAATGTGAATACTTTTGCAGGTTACTTTGTGCTCTTTCAAAATGAATGGTGAAGAGGAAGTATGGGGAAAACTCGATGCAGAATTTGATCACTGTGTTGTGGATATGAAGCCTCATGTTCTAAAACTCCAGCATAGGTCAGGTAAATGTGGTAAAATGTGCAGATGGAGAAATGCTAATAGAATTCTGGGTTACTGATAATCATTATGTGTACTTGTATCACTGCCTTTAGCCACACGTGTAATGTCTGATGTTACCATGTGCTGCTTTGAAAGGGGTTTTGTACAGCTTCAAATGTTGGATGTTTTTAGGTACCTGCTGCTGGGTTTTAAGCTTATTTGTCTTGTCTTGGTGATGTAAATGCACTTTTGCATAAATACTTCAGTGTCTCTATTTTTTAAGAATTAATTCAGTAGAAACTAAAACCTAAAAGACGTTGGGTTTGAGATTGCACTTACAAAAGTGCAGGTATTTTCTTAGATATAAGGTGTTTTAAATTTTGGCTTAGAAATGTGTGATGTTTTATGAGTCGGATGATTGGAACAAACTGGTCACTATTAAAGTCATGAACTCCACAAATCAAGACCTTGCTCTGGAAATGTTTAATCAAATGAATAATTTCATCGTTGGGTAGCAAAGTTTGTGTAAATGGAAACTTTTAAAATGGCTGAAGATTTATTGTGTATTTACAATATTAATGCTTGTGCAAGCTGTGTGTTGTAGTTAAAGGTGGCTCTCGCGGTGAGTTCAGCGTTCTTAGGGACTTGGGTGTTCTGTACTTACTACAGATCTATTGTGAACATGCTGTTTCTAGCAGTCACGTAAATGTGATTTATAGAAAATATTTGTGGAGGGTTTAAATCTGAACTATCGTTAAAGACTTATTTTTGATCTAGGTATTTAACTGCTTTTCGCTTTGATTCGGTCATTTGGGGGTTTATTTGTTTTACTTTAGAAGGAAAACATCTACAATAATAGGTGACCAGTAGTGGCTTCTGGTTTTCCTATGTGTTTGATTTGCTCTGCAAATGTGTAGTGATTATATATATTTACGTGTCTAGAACGACAGAGATGTGCATTGTGGATTAAAAAGCTATGTGAACCCTCTGGAGCAGGCATAGGAGTAGCGGGCAGGAAGAATCGGAACCTATATGCAAAACTCCTGCTCCACATGCTAAAGCGAGGTGTGCTGGAAGGGCCTTTTACACATAAACCAGAACCAGGAATACTGAAAACTTTACCTTCGTACATGGTGAGTGTAACTTCTTTATCGGACAAGCGTGCTTAACTATATTCTGTAAATGCTTTTAAGTCTTTGCTTTGGCATAAATGTGAAAACTAGTTCTGAATGAATTGAATGGAATTGTATTTGGTAAATACAGGCATTTGCATTGCATTTCTTGTCACTGGTGTTGGTAAAATTTTTCAATATGCAAAATCTATTATTTTGAAGAACTTTCTTCAAACTTCAGATTCTAAGAAGGCTTATAAAGTAGTCCTGAAGGACCAGAAAAATAATGTGTCTAATTTGAAAAGATGTAATGAAAGACTCTTGAGGCTATATTTTGTCTTAATCGTTGGATAGTTCTTGTGAAAGGAAGAAATATGCTTAAATGAGGTGACTTTGGTAGTCATCTTTAGTCAGATAACAGCCCTAATTTATGCTAAAGTTGCCCTTATTGAGAGAAGTAAAGTACTGGAAATCACTTAGACCATTGCCTGTTGTACTGATTTCCATGGGTGAGGAAGATAATATTCGCAGACCTCATTGACTTCAGTGGAAAAAGAATTTTTGTACTGCAGATACTCCTGCAAGAAATGACATTAGCAGTATAAAGAATATGTTTCTGTAAGTATATTCTGGTGTTGATCTTGCATTTATTTTAATTGCAGTCAATTTATTTTGATGAACCAAATTCAAGAAGAGTTCAGAGTAGTAGCCCAGACTGCTTACCTGACTGGGTAATGGGAGAACTGGGAAACAGTGAATCTAAGCACGAGGTATCATGGAGTATATCTTCTAAAGAGGAATTTTCTTTAACAGCACCACCTACGTATGGGTAAGATTTCTGGATTTGCTTTATTCATGTTTAATAGATGTTTATAGTGGTTTGGACTGATGGTTACCAATGGGGTGCCAGTGACTTGCAAAAAGAGCCTGTTTGCTCACATAGACAATAGTCATGGTCTGGTTTTTTTGCACCATTCTCTCCCTTCATGTTAATACTTTCTGTAGACCGGTAACATACTCTGTAGACTTCAAAAGTAGATAATAGCTGCTGTTCTGACATTCTAAATGTCTTATCAAATAAGCTGCTACTCTGGTTATGTTTCTCAGAGCTGGGATATTATGGTGGCAAAGCATAGTAGTCACAAGGGAAGAACAAGAGTTCATACAAAATTACTGGGAGAGAGAACCACAGACAAATGTAGACAGGCAGTAAGGAAGAAGTGATGTGGTAAAAGACTGTATAGATGCAGAAGACTCAGGCTAGCTTTTTCTTACAACAGATCAAAACAGTTGCTGTGTCTTTGGAGTTCTTGTACAGTCCTGTTTTCTGTGTGCTGATGTGTGGAAACTGGAAAGTGGTATTAATTAAGGAAGCTGAAGTGGATTAATCTTCACTGTTTCTGTACAGTTCAAAATATAAGGAATGTACAGTAAGCAAGTGCCCAAAAATGTGGGGAGAGTAAATGTGTAATGTTAAAAAGCAATTGTAGTTTGAGGTTGTAATGTTGAAAGGAGCATTTATATCAAACAGTTTTTAAATGGCTTTTTCTATAGGGAATAGAAACACAAACAAGCATACAGGTGGTAGCTTTAAAGGAAGTTCTGTCATTGCTCACAGGTTTTTCTAGAGGAAACAAAATAGTGGCTCTCTGCAGATAAGCAAGTGTTGCTGTTCTGTGAGAAGAAGAAAGGTTAGCTACGTACAAAGAAAGAGGAATTTGATCCATCTTTTTGTGAGCAAGTTAGTTTGTATTAAACACTTACATGTTTGTCTTGTTTTTCATCATGGCTTCGTTATGAAATGGCAAGATTTCTTTATATTTCCCATAAGCTTCATGGATCTTGGATTACAGAAGGTCAGACTGGACCAGCTCTACTTGTTAAAACTTAGGAGGCTAAATATCAGAGCTGCTGCCTGCGAGGTATTCAGCTGTGTTTTGTTCTCTTGTGTGTGGAAGATTGTTTGCATTGACTTCATCCTTGTCTGAACAATCTCTCTGAGTTTGATTTCAAATGTTTTGGTGTATATCATGCTGTCCACCTCACACCCACGTGCTTTGTTGGTGACTGGCACCCCCTATGTCTAGATCCTGCATGTTTGTCATTAGGATAATGCAAAAATTTCAGTATTGATTATTTGCAGCTGTAAAGCAGAGCCCTGAATACCTGTAGCTGCCCCTTGTTATGGTAATCCATTAGACAGTCTCTTTTGGTAGGTTTGCAGGAGATGGTAAGTTTGAGCTGCATCCGTACTTCCAACCAGTTGGGTATAGAGCTGTTTACAGAGCAGGTAAAGGGATGAGAAGTATCAGGCTTCTTTTCCTTCTGGCTAAGAAAAATATCCCTGTAGCATTGAAGTTGTGCCAAGCTGGCCAGTTGGATGCTGTTGGAAATCACTGGCTTTTTTCTGCCCTATGTTGTATGAATCTTAGGTAAATTTTAGTTTAATCTGTATTCTGTTCTTAAATACTGACTTTCTTTCTAGTTTTTCTTATGCATTGCAACTTTGTGCTGATTGTCAAGACCTCTGTTCCATTTTTTTATGTGGCTGCATTTCAGGCATGGATGGAGCTGCCTCTTGTTTGCTCATTTTAGTTAATGTTTAAACACTCTGAAATCCTTGGAGAAAAAAGCATTCTTAGAGGTAGAGCATGAATATTACTTGAAACTCAGGCGCTGTGCAAGAGGAAGTAAGTGTTTGCTCTACTTCTATGTGAAACTTCTGGTTTGGTTTCATTGCATTATAAATACGCTCACAAGTTTTGTGTCAGAAGTCTAATGCTTTTTTATGTGTTCACTTATATTTTTCTTAAGTGGTTATTGTTTGCTGTTCTTTTTAGGTTTTAGGTACACTCATGTTTATGCTATATGTCACAGTGCAGTCTCTTGCATTTCTTAGTTGGTCTGTGATTTGGGTAGATGACATACAGGCACTCTTGCAAGTTACATCACGTTGATAGAGTACCATGAAACTTTTCCTTTTTGTATCCATCAGCTATGTGTAATTCTAACAGTCATTAAAAAAGTTGCTCTAAGGATTGATGCATCTCTTTCTGAATCCTGCCACCTATACTATGGGATCATCTGGTTGCTTGCACTCAAATGCTCTGACATGAACATGTGATTTTGGTAGCAGACTTGTGGTTTAAGACACAAACGTGGAGAACAGAGAAACTCCCAGCTGTGTTACCCTATTACTGCTTTAGGCTTGATGATACCATTGGGAAGAGCTGTCCAAATACCCTCAAGTGAAAAAAAACAGGCTTAACCTTATGAAAACAAGGAATGTGTTATGCTTTAGAAATGCTTTTTGAGACCTCAGCTAAATCTGTGTTAGAGAGCGTTGTGCCATGTCAAGATGCCTGGCAAAGATCTGATGAGATTGTCTTGGTCACTGGCAATAGCGTCGTCATGATACAGTATCAGTCTAGATATTAGGAGTATCTAATACTAAATAAATAGTAAATAAAGCAGCATCAACACAACTCTCCAATCTAGATTATAGAATATTGGAAATCCGATCGCTTTCCCCATTCAGTGTCTGAACCTAAGATTCAGCTTGGTCTTGCAAAGTTCCCAAAATCATGGGCAGGGTGATGAAGCTTGCTTTATTTCATTTACTTTTTTGTCCTGTGGGATTGTAGCAATACCTACATTGGTGATGGACCAAGGCTCTGGTGAGTTCTCTGGACATCTGTATTGCATATTATTTCATGTCAAGGAAGCAAGTAAATGTGATGGAGTAAGTTATAGGTTTAAAGAAATCTGGAAGTGAAACTTAGCTGTGTAGGCATGGCTCTCCTGATGGGTACTGACATTAGGAGTGGAGCTGTGTCTAAGGAAACCTGAGTTTGTGTTGGCAAGCAGACATTTTGATAGCTTTGTAGATTACATAAATTAATCCTCATAGCAATGAGAAACATTAAATGTGTGAGCTTTGCAGGAAGAATTAGTGAAGGTAAATGTTTTAGCTGCTACGTTTTGTAGAAATAGCTTATTTAATACATATTCACGTGTGTTTATGTAGAGATGTTAGCCATACTCAACATATCCCATCTTTGTATTTACAGTTTTGAATGGGCTACTCATGCAAGTAAAGATGTGGAGTATTATTTCTGGACTCTGCAGTATGTAAAGAGAGCCAGCAGATGGTGATGTTGTTACATTACACTTTACGTTACACTGAGTGGCTCTACTCAGAACGTGTATCAAGAAAACTGTCTCCACAGGCATGTAATCTGTGTAGTTGGATGAAAATTTTGCATTCCAACTGTGTCTCTGTTCTTACAGATAGACCACAACATTTTCTCAAGGCAAAATAGATAATGTCAGTGAGAAATGTTTGAATAATTTTTTGATGTTTGTTTATCTCAAGATTCCCTCCTTTAAAAGAAGCAAACAAATGGAGAACTTCTTTTCATAGTTATTTTTATCTTGCAATACATATACTTCAATGTGTGAAGATTTTGGCTTTTCTGTACAAAGTTGTTTATCTGGCTAAGCAAGAAGCAGATAGACAAACTTTGCTTGCAAGCTAGGGTGTAAATGAGTAAGACCAAGCCAGCTGGTGCTAGAAAGGTGCATCTTTATTTTAAAACATGAGAAAATTGGTTTCAGCAATGTGTAGTTTGGTTTGAACAGAAACCTGGGCTTTCTAACCCCATGGGAAATAAATATATGTATGTTTATAGATCATGCCTGGAAAACATTGTTCAAGGTTAGTGCTGTACCAGGAGGAACCAGTGAGTTTCCCTTGCTTTGTTCCTAGTAGGAAATTATTTACTAATCTCCTTTATTAGCAGCAAATTGCTTCCTTCTCCCATGCTAGCTCACTGTTTTGGCTGAAGCAGGAGGTCACAGGGCTGGTGTCAAGACTATTCTCTACTCACCTGCCATGGGAGGAAGAAGAAGTAATCTTGTGATTTCTGGAGCCTGGCCCGTATTAGCAGAAGGCTGGAAAAGGGGGTGAACGGGCAGTGTATGGTTGATAGAAGCAAAATTGCAGTCCATCCTTAAGGAACTCTTCAAATTTTGTTTATAGAATCAATTAAAGCAACTTTCTTTTCATTTCCTCTTCAAAATAGCAAATAAAGAACCAAGACTGTATCTAGACTTCTCTTCCCCATTTTGTTAATTTAAAATATTACTGGTAACTAGGGTTGGTTTATGTGTTTATTGGTATTCCTTAATCTCTTCATGATAGGGGCATGAATTCTGCTTTTTCTTATTTTAAACAATTGGGATTGTCTGGAATTGTTAAGTAACCTGAATATTGTTGAGAAAAGAAGTCTGATAAAAGTGCACATCTACTGACAGGCAAAGATTTGTCTCTTTTTGATGATTGATAGTTTTGTGTCAAATGAAATCTGGGTAAGAAATGCATGATTTGGAACATGATGGAGACAGTCATTGTGTTATTATATTTCTTTTGGGGTTTTTTTGCCTCTAATGCTGTGCTTATCTAAACTATTTACAGCTTTGCAATAGTTACTTTGCATCCGTACGTGTTGTTGGTATTTAGTGGTGCTGGAAGGGAAGGTATGCTCCCAGTTGTTATGTTTCACTGTTCCCTGCTGTTTTGATGAAAGCTGAGGCTGTGTTCATGAAGTTTGTCTGGGTTTGTCTTCCTAGAAGTGACTAGTTTATGTTGTGCATCCAACAGTTGTCTTTCTGTTCACAAACACTTAATTTGTCTGTGTGTTTTTGGCATTGCTTACCGTGTAATTTGCTGCCAGATGGAAAGAAAGGTATTTTAATGGTCTGACTTGATTTTAACGTAATAGTTAGTTCATTTCACCTTCCTATGACTAACAGGAGTTTTTAATTACATTAAGACTTGTGGATTTGACAGTGGAGTATATGCTGAAGGGCGTTTTACTACTGTTTTGGATCTTTTGCTCTATTAGCCTATCTAATAAACTCTTAGAACTTTCGTTTTATTTTTGTCCCAGGCAGTTCTTTTCTTTCATTGTTCTATGGTTGAGAAATGTCTGTTGCCCAGGTACATCAGTGAAGGTTATCTGCACCTATCTGCTCTTCTCGATTTCCTGTTGTTCAAGTGCTTTATTCATGACTAAAGAAAATCCCTTTCCAGAAAATCCCTTTCCACTTGAGTGCAACTAAACCACTTCAGTTGATAAAATAGAAATGCAACAAATACAATCTTTAGGACTTCTTTCTTTGCCGTGTTACTCTCCAGTGGGGCCTTACAAGTCATAGAATCATAGAATAGTCATCGCTTTCCTGTTGAGCTCTGTGTAGTGCTTGCCCTTGTCTTCAGGTTTGTATGTTCTATGAAACATGCCTTGACCTAACCTCATGTATTTTTGGTCTAAAAAGTCTTCTCTCCTATGGTGTGGCCAACCATCACCTTAATCCCTTTTTCTTCTCCGAGTTGCTGGCCTTTATCCTACGCTGTCCCAGATGTTTAGCAATTTTGATTTAAAAACATTCTTCTCAGTTAACTTGGATTTAGTCTAAAAATCTGTTGGCAGATGTTGGATCATTTAGTAACAGAAATGCAGAGAACACCTTTTAATATACTGTGATGTACATGGTATTTCTGGTGTTTTAGTTGGGGGGGGGGTTTGGGTGTTGTGGTTTTTTTAATGGAATGCTAAAGGCTTTTGTTTGCCTTTGATAAGAATTTTTTCCTTGATTTTGTTCTATTTTTGATCTTTACATGTTGACAATTATTTTGTATATTTTAAAAGATTTTATTTTAAGATTAACATCCTTTGTGCACCACAACTTGCTGAAAATGAGTTCTTCTCTCTGCTTATTCTTTTTGTTAATAACAGGGAAAGATTCAAGTACAATGAGAAGCCAGCATTAAGATCACATTCTATGAGTCCTCCTCACCGGACAGCTGAAGATAACCAAGCTACACCACAGTCTGTAAGATGCTTCTCCTTTTTGTCATTAAACTTGCTGTAGTTTCAATGAATTGTTTTTATATGTCCCCATAAAGCTGTTATTTCTAATTGCATGAGGCATTGTCCCTTTGTACAAGTGCAGACATTTGGGAGGGAGTGATAGGAAGGACTAAAGCTCCTCAAAATGTGCATTGTTTTCCCTAGGCGTGGCAAGCTGACTGTATTGACATCATCTTGTGTTTTGCAATAGTAGATTAAAGAAAGCTGCATAGATGTCTTTGGCTCTGATTAGTGATGGCTGACCTCTGAAAGAGTGAATTTTGGACAGTTTGTTTTATCAAACTTTCCACAGGCAGCATTGTGGCTGATGGAAGGACACTAAACAGACTTCACGTAAACCCCTTTTAGTCCAAAATATTTAATGATACTGTATGTGTAATTGCAAGCATTTGAACTGAAAATTACTGCTGACAACTATATGTTATCAACAAGTATTGTGAATGTGCTCTGTAGCCTTGCAGTGTCCAGTCTTTATTACTGGGGAGGTCTGTTGGACATGGCTCCTTCACCATAGCTAGTGCTTCTATAATAGCTTTAATTTCTCCATGAAACACTAAATTTGCTGCATATATATTGTAGACTTGCCCACGATTATTGTTTTGATCGTATCAGAGGAAGAGTTTAGAAAGCACACAGCTGGAAGTGGGCTGTTGACACCCGAACAATTCATACAGACTGTTCTTACCCTTCTATACTGGGCTTATGAGGACATGAAGTGCGAGTGGGATAAACTGGCAGCTTGTTTCTGAGGTCTTTGTGAGGAAATCTGTGTTCTGATACGTGTTTGGAATAGAGGACTAGCAAGGGATCTTTACCATGGCAGGCTACAAGCGGTCTGTGGGCAAAAAATGAGTGTCTGCTCTATGCTCTGGTTGGTATGAATGTACTTATGTGTGTGCTAATTGTATATATATGAGTGTGATTTCGGAAAGAAACGACATGACGAAAAATAAAAGCAGATGCTGGATTTACTAAATTTCTCCTCATTGGTTTCCTGTTTATTTTACTTGACTAAAGAAATAGTTTTTATGGAACAGTTTTTGTAAAGAAAAGGATTTCCTTCAGTTGAAACCTGGATCTGGGGCTTGAAAGTTGTTTTGGTTTTTGTTATTTTGTTTATCCTTTTTGTTCCTGGCTCTGCCACAGGCTTCCAGGGCAATGTTAGACAAGTCAGTGCACATCATTGTTCTTCAGCTCCATATATTGGATTCTACTGTGATTACAGCTTTAAAAGGGCCTTTAAGTGAAATAATTCTCTCTTGCTTTGCCAAACAGTTTGAACGTTTGGCTGGCTGGAACAAATAGTATCTTGTTCTGTTGTCAGTGATGCACAGATGTTCTGGCGTAATTCAGGCCCAGGTAGAGGAACAGGGAGTCTTTTAAGAAACATTAAGAACTGTCTCAACCAAGTGTTGATTAACTGAAGTCAAAGCTCCATTCACTGTATGTTTATAGTGAATGAGCAGATTTAAGAAAGATTTGCTTGCACGCCAATACGCAAAGCTCTTGCTAACAAAACTTAATGTGACAAAGTAAGCCAGGCTTCAACGTTCTGATTTTCTAAATAGTTCTATCTGCCCACTAGGACTATCCCTGCCTTGCTGTGGTTTCCTTTAATTATTACTACTTTTCATTTATTTGGAGGCTGATCTGGGTGATTTCTGGATTAGCCCCATAGAAAGTCCTGTGGCGATGGATCATTTCTAGAATGTTGCCTGAAGAATGAAGCGTTTTGATTTTTGCCTAGTAAACTCACCCTTTGTAAAGGAGGCTGTTGCTTTGGAAATAAGTAAAATAAAGAACAACATTAAAGTGAGGAGACAGCTAATTTATCCTCTGAATTCCTTTCTTAGTGCAGTATCCTACTGGTAACTGAGCTATTTAGATTAAAGCTGCCAGAGGTGTTAGGAAGCACAGTGTAGGCATGGCCAAGTCAATGAGAAGCTTATTTTTCAGACTATGTTTCTGCCAGCTCTTCTGATATTTTGTTTGACTTTTTTTATGTTCCAGGACCATCGTCATAAAAAAACCAGTTCTTTGGATGACAGTGACCTCGAAGCACGTCTCAATAGTTGGAATCTTGGGGTAAAATAAACAGAGTACATTACTTCTTGAGTGACTTGAAATGAAAACTCCTTAGTAACGTAGTCTGCATCTGGGAATTTAGTCAACAAAACTTGACGTAGGAATCAGTCTTTTAGAGAGGAATTGGTAAAGCTTGGAAAGGTTAATTATGAACACGTGTCATCTTGAGAAGAAAACGTTAAAACCATTAAGATTATTATTAAACAGTAATAATCTTATGTATTTAATATAGTTACTGATAAATCAAGCAAAATAATAGTAGCTGCTGGTCAGGACCAAGTGTCTTACTCTGGAAGAAATTCAGACTTTCTTATAACTTGATAACATTATTTTAAATTTGTGCTTGTATATATGAAAGAAGACTTTGGCTTTCTGTATTACTGGGTTGTTGTTTTTTTTAAGGAATACAGAGTTTACAAGCCATTAATAAAACTTGATGTTTGGGATTTTTTTTGCTACAGTTTGCCTCTTTTTGGTAGCATCTGAGAGGCTTTTCAGAGTGTTAAACTCTTTCATCCCCATTTAATAATAAGAAACTCTAGACCAGCTCTTTGACTCTTATTCCTGGAAAGAATAGTGTGGCTTTGCCACGGGAAGAATCTAAGATGAATTTAAATTTTAATTTAAGGCTACTGTTGTAATAAGACTTTATTCCCTTGGTTGTATTTTCTGTGCTATTAGCCCAATTCTAAGGTCATAGTGAAGTTCCTTCTCTCTGTAGCTATGTTCTGCTGTGTTTTTTTCTGTCGTGGTGTTTTGTCTCTTCTTAAACTTTTCACCTGTACCACCAAATCTTTAACCTATTTGATAAGGATTGATATCCTCATAATAGTTTAATTTTATTAAGATCACTTTTAATAACGAGGGTGGGTTTGTGTTTTTCTTATTTTCTGCTTATTCTCATAGGTTCAAAGCTCAGTTGTGTTTGGGAGCGAGGGCAGCTGAAGTCAGGAGGGATGAGTTTCTAATGAAATACTTCATCTTTGTTTTTTTTAATAGTTATGTATTTTCATGTTGTCATTTTTATCAGTTGCCAAATAATCCTTATTCTTCCTACACTACTGACTGTCCGGAGGGATATGACAGCATTTAAAAATCTTGCCTATTCCCCTCAGTGTTTGCACTGGTGGCTAGGTTCTCAGTTGAAAACAGAAATGATGAGAGAACATTGACTTTTTTGTGTCCTTCTTGGTGTTTCTTGTGCTGCTGTGGTGCCTGTTAACATTCTGAATGCAAGTTGATTGCTTTACTTGTGAGGGAGAAGAAAGTCTTGACCTTGAGACACTCCAGGAGCTGCCCAAGCGCTTTCTCTGAACTAAAGGTGGAGATTAGTAAAGATGTTAGCCTGGGTGCTTGGTGTTGCTGCTTGTCTCTTAGAGAGTAATACAAGAACCATTTCTAGCACTTCCAGACTTAGATGAACATATTTTTCAGGCATTGTAGTTCTGTGCTGGAGATCTACTCTCCACACTGTAAGCTTTTCAGTAGCAGCCAACTCTGGCTTGTGAAAGCACTGTGCAGGTGTCTGAAACAAACATGCAAGCAGTCACTTGCAGGTTTTGGGATATTTGGGCTGTATAAATACCTGGATTATATGAGCAGATAGTTGTAATACCTTGAGCTTTTAAAGCTGCTGTAAAAAGGAAACTTGCTCATGGCCATTTTACAAATTGTTCCAATTGATGTTAACAAAGAATCTCTTTATATCCAGCATTTTTATATCAGTGTTGATCTGCCTTCTTGCTTATCTCTTTAATTTTATTTGGGGTTTGTTTCTTTTTCTAATTGAAATTCCAATTTGCAATCATATTCTGTTGCTAATGGATGGTTATTAAACTGTGATGATCCTCCACTGATATGGGAGCTCGCTCGTATAACAAATTGGCTACCGTGACATATAAATCAGTTTTTCAAGTCTCCTCTTCAGGGATGGTAATTAAACAAGTCGCTAGTGAGAGACTTTGATTGCTTGATAAGACTTGTTGGGAGTTACCTGACAAAAGAGAATTTGGGGTTGTAAAAGAGAGGTCTGTAAGTGGTTGTTGGAACAGCGTTTCCCTGCTATGGATCGTGGCCTGCAGTGGGTTCTTGAAGGGTCAATATGTTTTAAGTAGTTTCATCTATGAAGAAAAATATAAAATTATTAAAAATAATAATAAAAATTTACTAAACCATGGCAGCACTTCAGATTCTGTAAGGTTTGAGTTCAGGATGTGGCTGCTATTGCTTGTGAGCATTTACACTGCCATAGGAGTACGCAGCTATCTTTTGACAGCTAGCCACATTTGCAGAGTGTTTGAGAAGCTTAATTTACAAGTGATGCCACCTCAGATACAGGAAACGCTTGACCCAAAAGAATACTTCAGTAGTAGGGGAAAGTTAGGAGAGAAAATACAGAATGGCTTTTGCTTTGAATGGCCTAATATGAACCAGTTGTTTCAAAAAAGCTTTCAAGATTTCCTTAGGGTTTGTTTTTGAGTTTAACTTGTGTCTCAAGGTGAATCGGGGTTGCTAGTCTGGCAAAGGATGTATGCTGCTGTATGTTCTTCTTGCAATGATGGGGACAGAGCTGATCCTGGGAATTTTGGACAAGTCTTTATACAAGGATTTTTCTCAGTAAGAAGCCTTGAAATTTGAGGAAACTGTTCTTATTTCAAGCAAGTGTATATTTTGATAAGAATCTGCAAACATCTTGGTAGGTGCTCTACGTAAAGGTGAGAAAAATATAGCATCTTCCAGCTCTGAGTTGCAGCTAAGCCTTCACTGTTCTGGTCAGGCTTGTCTGGAGTATAATGACCAGTTTTACACTGTTAATTTATTTTTATCCTTATCTTTTGGAGCTTCAACTTTGATATATTCTTAATTTCCTCTTCTTCAAGGATTGTGTATTTTTAAGGTTACATACTGAATGTGTTTCCACTTTTTATGGTGTGCTTACAACAGTGGCTAAGATTTTATTATTATTTATTATTAAAAACATTGTGAAAAGTTTGGGGAAATAATTTTATGGTTTCTCTACTAAGCAGAGAGGTCAAAGCTTAACAGAGCATAATATGGAGGCTTCAGATACTTGTTGCTATTAGTAATAATATTTGCTATACAAGAAGTAAGACTTTGCTAATGTTGTTTCTTCTCATTAGTATTTTTCCATTTCCCTTGCAGCATTCTTGATTATCTCTCTCAACCGTTTTATTGTTCAAGTTCTTTAGATTCTAGTCATGCATGAGTAAATGTTTAAAAAAAAGTTTTGATTGTGATAAATTTGCCTTTCATACATGGAATACTAATTTTAAATACATTATAAAAGTGTGTTTTTCTTAGCCCTTATTGACTCTTATCTAAATTGATGTGGGGACTATCCTTTATTAAGTGTTCGTGCCTTGAAGTTGCATTTGCAGTGTAGAAAAGAAGACATCCTTTTGTGTTGCCATTTGAAGGGAAAAGTTTCGGAGCCAGGAGTTTAGACAAACACAAGTCATCTTTGGTCATGTTGTTACTTTCAACTTTTTGTCATGATTTAGCTGTTTTAGATTATAATACAACTCCCTCAGCTTATTTTATTAACTGCTGTCAATAGACTTGTATATGTTGTTGCAGATTAATACACTTCACAAACGGGTCATCCTCACCTTTCTTTTTGTTATGTCTCAAGAAATAATTAAATATGGCAGTATCAGGAAAAGAAGCTTGTTGGATAATGGAATTAAACTTGCTTTTTTCTTTCTTTTCTTTCTTTCCTCTTGGTGTGAAGCTTTTTAGACTCTACACAAACAATTTTTGGATAGAAAATTTAAGTAATGTAAAGGAACAATAAGGAATTTAATCCCTGCATATTCTTACCCAACCTGCCTATATATATATTTTCCATGATGCTTCTGACACATTTTCATTTGTCAGTGAATTGAAGCCCATTTGAGGTGTGACAAAGCAACTCTCTTAAGCATCCCAGGAAATTAAGCAAGTGCTTCGTTTTAGGTAGAAAGCATACAAAGAGATTGTACCCTCAGAAACAGCAAAGGGTTTTCAATCAGGGAGAACACAGTTTTTCATCACTGGAATTCAGCCAGGACAAGAATTAACTCTTTAGTTTTTACCAGAAGTAATGGGGGATTTTCAGTACAAAGAACCTGGACATTCATGTCTTGCCCAGGAAAATTTAATATGGGTAATGTTATTGCCTAATAAAGCTTTAAAAGGACTTAGTCCAAAGAATTCCTGTGGTCAAAGGCTTCCATTACATTCTCCTTTCTTGGAGAAGTTATCTATCACAGAGGGTTAAAGTAGATGCGAGCATAGAGAATTCCTGGGTGGCTACAGCAGCAGTGTACCTTATGCCTGTTTTGTGTACTTGGCTCACATCTGCCTGTGTCTTTCCACTCTAGTTAAGCTCACCCATTTCCGTATAAGCCATTTGATTATCTTTTGTTTGGTTTCTTAGTCTGTCTGCTTACAGTAAACATACCTACTGTATATGTTGTGGCCTCGGAGGGCAGCAGCACTGTAAAAACATTCCCACAGTGAACTCCAAGTGGTGGTGTGACTTCAAAAAATAAATTCAACTTCCATGCTGACAAACAATCTTCATGTGCTTTAATGTCCTTCTGCTAAGACTGCAGAAGCAGCATTAAAGTGAACTTCCCTACAAATTATGATGGTAGATAAGAATGTCCTTACTCAAATTTCCTGAAGCTACTCAGCAGTTATTTCTGTAGGGAACATGTTGGCTGGCTGGGTTTGTTAGATTAAAGTAAGAATTTAGGGCAAGGTTCAGTTTAGTTGTTTACCATTTCAAAATCTTAAGTGTTCTTAACTCTTTCATGTGTGTTTTTTCCATCCTTGTTTTGAAAACAATCACATTTTGTCTTTGAAGATGCTTAAGGGAGAATTTGCAACAAGCCTGATGATCCAATTGTGTTGGTTTGGGTTTTTCCCCCCCCTGAATGTTAATATATACCACTCACCTTCTGACTCTGTTATTGAGCTGTAATAAGCTACAGTCATGAATTACTGAAGATAAATATACATTGGTAAATATCTTCCAAGGAATGAAATGTGACTTCGGAAGCATAACATTAATGTCATCATTATGGTGTTTACTGTGTCAAAAGAGCAGAAGCTTTGGTCTAAGCTTCTGGGCTATGACAGATATAAAGCCTGTACAGAATTTCCAGCCCAAGGGATGAAATGTAGTTGATGTCCTGAGGATCAGTCTTGCAGAAGTACTTAGTGCTCAAAATTGTGCTCTTTCTCTGCTGTCGTTGCTTTTGGGGGAGACTGTTTCAGCTCAGTTTGCTTCCGTCAATGTTGCACTCATCGCTTGTGTTGGTAGCTTTAAAATGTTTATCTCAAAAATGCTTAGTTTTGACTGCTTTAGGTGGTGGTGTTACTATAAACAGAATTGAAAATACTGAAGTTAAAAATTATGGCTAATTTCCTTCATATTCCATTTTGGAATATGTATTTTTATGCGGATTTCTGCCATTCTTTTTTCAGTTTAAGGAGAATGGGGGTATATTTTCATAAAGTAGATTATTTCTGTGCAGTACTGGGGATCTGAGCATCCAAAGCCTTCCCAACTCTGGTTTATGAGGACTCAAGTACTACAAGGTGACCATGGCAGCCCTCGCAAATTGCAACATGATTTGTTGTCTGTTTAACTGCCTAAGAGAACAGGAGAATCCAAAAGCTTTCCTACAAAGAAACTCAAAATGCCATTTTTGTTAAGAAGTGGTATTTGCAAATTAGAGTTCAATTCTAGTTCAAATAAAGATGTCTTTCATAATGACATTTATTTGGTTCATACTCTTAAAAAAGCATGTGATTTACTGTTCTTCTCATGGCAGTCCTTCAGTTTCATACATATGTATTTTGGTTTGTCTTTGACCTTTTGGTTATTATTTTTAAATTTGCATGTTTCTCATAAATACAAGCTGCTTTTTTCTTTTTTGGGGCATTCTTTATTGCGATACTCCCTCTTTAATGTGGTAGAATTCTGAGAACAAGAAGTTTTGCAGAAGACCAGCATGAAAAGAATGAATGTTGAGGCATTAAATGTTTACAGATCAGTTTAAGTGGATATAATCCACAACAAGTAACAAAGTGGGAACATTTAACTTCAAAGCACATATGGCTGCTGTTACAAAATCAAAAAATGCAAGACTTGGGCCATACAAAGTATTAGAGACGCATTTTCTCTCTTATAAACAAATAGTGTGTACCTTAGCGTTTTAGATTGGTTTTGAAAGGAAGACTGTAAACGGCTTAATTTCATGGTCCGATAAAGGATTGGAATTAATTGTAAATATTTACAATAATTTTCAGCTTTAAAAAAGCAGAAGTGAATGATTGCATTCACTTTACATGACAGAGGGCTTCTGGAAAATAATTAAGCCTTTGAAAATTGCTTGGGAAAGTCTTTCAGTGGTATCGGCTGCTCAATGTTCAGGGAGTTGGATCAGGGTTTGCCTTGAGCTCCTGGCTTCAGGCCTTTGGTCCTGGGTATCTGTACAGGTGGTGATCAGAGGTGTGGGATGGATGGGAAGCTGGTGAAATAAGCTAGAAGGAAGAGTGTAATATTAGTAAAATTGGAGAACTTTTAGATAGAAAATACTATTGCATGTACAAACGTGTAGAACAAAGAAAATCCTCTGAAATTGTTCTGGCTTAGAATTTCTGTGCTGCTTATTTCTACCTGTCTCTTCATTATTTTTTTATAACCACTGTTTTCTGTCTGCTGTGGTTAATGCCCCATGATGTTCTCACTCCTATATTCCTCTCCTCACCAACCTTCTGTATCCAAAATCATTGATTTTGGTTTTGCAGTAGGTGCATACGGGATTCCTTTATTCACTGTTGTCTGCCCATGTGTTTTGCATGCCCAAACCCCAAAATAAAACCAACTCAGGATGTTTATATGAAAGAAAGCTTAATGTATCTGTTTTAGTAAGCTCATTGGCAGTATGGAGAAGTAGGTTATCTGTTAAATTATTGCTTTTCTTATACTTTCAGTTACAGTGTTAAAATATTAGATAATATGAAATAGAATGGATGTGTTAAATGTGAATACGTACAACTACTTCTAGGGGAAATAGGATGACTCTTCAACAGCATATAGAAATCCTACATAACCTTTTAGGATAGGAAATGAGTAATACTGTATCAAATTGAAATTTCAGAGGGATTAAGCCTCTCTTTTGCTGACAAATTCAATGCAAAACTTTATTTAATAGTACTGGAGAAAGTGCAAGCATTTGATACGTTTGCCATGCCTCAGAGATCAATTTAATCTTAAATAAAATAAACTAAAATGCATCAAATGTTGTAAGATGTGCATTGCAATCACATTCACATTCCAGATCTCCCTGCCACGTTTTACAAGATTATACCCTTGAAAGCTTTTCTTGGGTGTTATGCATTCTCTGTGATGTGATGTTTGAGCCCCATTGTCGGAGTAAATTAAAAAGATAGAGCTGTCTGATAGAGGAAGTGGGTTGTGAACAATGTTTTGTATTCAGTTCTTAAAAATAGTGATTAAAAGAGCTGCTTTAATTATACAGTGGTGTTAATGAATTATTTCCTTATGTTTTGTCTCTATGGCTTACATGTGTGGGTATAGTTTCAATGCACTCAACTGTAATTTCTCAAAACCACTAGATTAAAATCTTTGTAATCTGTAAATTTATGCTAGTTTTACTGATTTAAGTGAAAGTTTACCCAATAAAGTTGGAATCTTTCGCATAAGGCAGGTATTTAGCTGCCAAATTCCTTTAAAACATGCATGGATGGAATTTTTACAAGGGGCTGGGGGGGGAAAAAAGTGCAATTTTTGAACCATTTCCATTAGGAAACACTAAAACTAAAACTTGCTGAGTAGGTCATGTCCAGCAGAATGATCCCTTATGAAGATTTTCTATTTCTGTAACTTGTAAAAGATGGACATTTGCATTCCATGGAGTGCTTTTCTTAGGGATCATTGAAATGTTCTAAAGGAGAAAGAGTTATGCACAGGCAGATTAATTTGTGTGATACTTCTAGGTTACAGCCGTGTATCTAGAGACATGATGATTTGCAGATTACCTGTGTTTTAATAGATAATCAAATCTTAGTGCAAAGCAGTTCTTGATCTGGTGTGTATAACCAAAGACACGCTTAAATCTGTTCAATTGTTGTTCCTAGAGTGATAGAGTTACTGCGTTAAGTATTCCCACCCTGGTACAGATCACCCAAAGTTGTCACTGCAAACTTTATTTAGTATTTGGAGATATTTCTTATTGTTTATAAGAACTAATAAGACATTATTGACGTCATTACTTTTTCTCTAACTCGTTTTTCAGTTAGAAAATCCAAGATACTTGCGAGAAAAACCGATGCCAGTGTCTTTGGTATGTATCTATATTCCCACTATATTTTATAAGGGGGAACAACATGCTTAATAATTTTCATTTCTGGTTAGGATGGATTTTATTTGGAGTTACTGCTTTGAATTAAGTTGTTTTGAACTTTTTCTTATTCAACAGATGACACCCAAAATGGGCCGAGGAAAAAGCAGCCCTGTATGTGATGAGCAGGCGCTGTTTCGAAGAGAGGTAAGATCCTTTTTAGTCTTTTGGGAAAAAGAAAATTACACCCAGATTAGTAAGTTAGGATGTTTTCTTGGGAAATTGGGTGTTTGCAAACCAGTTTGTTGTGGCAGAAGATCTCATGTAAGGGAATTTTTGCTGAAGTGCCAGGACTTTTCATTAAATACGGAATGTATTTCCCAATTACTTAGAGAATAAAAAAGACTTTTGGAACATGTTTATTTTTCCTTTGAAGGAATTCTCAGTGTAGAACAGTTTGAATTCTAGGAATTTTCCAAACTACCTTATAGCAGAAGCAATGGAACCCTTGATTTAGTGATGATTTTTGTTAACTTTCTATATACCTTTAAAAATCTACAGATCTAGACCTTATTTCCATTAGGTATGAGTTGGAAAGGAGGTGACATAATTTCTAAACCATTAAATTGTCCCTCCTTTTACATGGTATCTTACAAGGACACTTGAATTTTGACCATCCTGAGGTTACTTTCAAGACACTTCAGAGATATAGGGGAGAGTAAATTTGGTTTGCATCTACTTCCATTGTTAATAATCATAGAATTGTAGAATGGTTTGGGTTGGAAGGGACCTTAAAGCTCATCCAGTTCCAACCCCTGCCACAGGCAGGGACACGTTCCGCTAGACCAGGTTGCTTAAGGCTCTGTCCAACCTGGCCTTCATAATGTATATGAAAGTCAGCTTTGTGTTGATAGCTGCTGGTCTAATTCAACACTTACCGAAGCAGCCTGCTGTGGCACTTGCATAAAACATATGCCTTTCACTTTCTCTCCTGTGGTCTAATATTGACTGTTCCTTTGTATTAACAATATTCAAACCACCATTGCCTTGGGATGAGGCAAGGTTTCGTAAGATGTGGAAATAGAGCAAAAAATAAAGTAAATTGAAAGCACAATGCTGTCATGTAAGTACAGCTTTTGAATTAAATAAACAGGAATGGATGCCAAGTAGCTACATAAAATACAGCAAATACTTTGCTGGTTCAGTGGAAAAATCCTCGAAACCACACAGTAAAAATCCTGTCCTTTTTTTGCTAATGGTACTTGACTGTGGGCTAGTTTAAACTGGAAAGGTTATAGACAATATTTCACAATTGCCATGTGTGTGCTGTTAAGTAGAAAACTTCAATGTGTTTTGGTCTTATTTGGTTTGTGAAGCTCAATTAAGAATAAAGCCTTTTCACTTATAGAATGTAAATGTATTAACAGAAAAATAGCGCTGTACAGAAGGTTTTGGTAAACCTTTAACTGTTTTCAACCTCTTTGTAGTAGAACTGGAGAACATAAAATAGGATAACTGTGGGTTTTTTGCTTTTAACCTTTAGACCTTTGTTCATAAAGAAAAAATCCTGCACCTGTTTTGACTCTGTAATGCTGAACACATGGCCAGTTTCAATGATAACCACATCACAGATTTATGAAAATGAGAATATCATCAGGCAGTGGGTTTTAGTCCTATATTCCCCAAATACTTCTGACATGGATTAAACTATTTGGGAAACTTGTCGTTACTGAAAAATCATGTGCTCAAACAAGGAAGATGCAGGAAAACAGGAATTTATTGGTTTTCAGCAGTACAGCAAGCCAGGACAGATGGCCTGACTAGCTTATTTAGATAAATAGGAAGAAGTGTCTCTTTGAACTTCACCTTTGGTCATCCTGAATGCTACCCGATACTGCACAGAGCAGAGGAGGGGGAGACAAAAAGTTCTTAGTTGTGATTGTTCAGAAAACCAGAACATAACCTTTGCTGCAATATAGGCTTGAAATTGTTCTGGAATTAAAACCCAAATTTGTCTGTGTTAATAAAACATGATGCTTGTTTAGTCTTTCTCAGAGAACTGATGTATCCTTTAAAGGAGTTTTGGGGTTTCTTAAAGTCCTCTTCATTTTTCATTTTGTCAGCCTTAATTTTTCTTTGCATTTTTCTCCATTTCCTTCTGTTTTCTTTCTGTAAGCAAAGATATTTATCTGTGTAGACTCAGCAAAAGGAACATGAACAAACCTGAGGCAAGAACATTGGAAATAATTTTCTCTTTTTTTATTCTTTGAAATTAAAGGTTGTAATTAATACCAGGAGTACATTTGTACTGAGCTATATACCAGCTCGTAAATCATTTTGTTTTAGACAAATGCCAAGCCTGATGCTTTGTGCAGTAACTGTGTTATGAAGCTTTATCTATTAACAGAGAACATTGAATATTTCCAATGATTTTGACTTTATTACTGCTCCTGTTACTTTTCTGGTTTGCTTTTTGGAAATCCAGTGATAAAGTCTTTGGACACTGGAGCAGCGGTGCTTTTCCAGGTTCTGTGTCCTAAAGCAGTCAGGCAGAAATGGTTGTGGTTCCTATAGTCAGCTGGAGGAGTAGTTAGTGCAGTGTAATTGGAGGGAGGCGATGGGTAACTTTGTAGGAAGATACAGAATACATGCAGGATAACTTCCACTGCTTTGTCATGAAGAGTGAGGACACTGAGAAAGAGCACGTGCCCAGGGAAAAGGAGAGATGAGCTGGATAGCGGAAGGTTACTTAGAGTGTAGTTATTTTATTTTATTTTATTTTATTTTATTTTATTTTATTTTATTTTATTTTATTTTATTTTATTTTATTTTATTTTATTTTATTTTATTTTATTTTATTTTATTTTATTTTTTGTGTATTCAAAAATTGTATCTTTAAGGTGCAGCCTTTTTAAAAAAGCTATCTAGAACCTTTATCTTTGTAATGTTTATTTTTCCCCTTTTTTGGGGGTCATGAGCAGTCCATTTATTGCATTACACAGATTTTCTTTGTGAAGACCATCAAGCTGTGTATATATGAAACTGCACCAGAAGTGTTGGGATCTAGCAGTATGCTTATGTTAAGATAAAATCAGCACGCTGCAGTGATGATGTTATGGTTAAGTCTTGGTCTGGCTCAAAGTGTTCTGAATTTAAGGTGTTGAAAGCAGCAGATTTACTGTGCTTCTCACTTATCTGGCAAGAGATTATGACTTGAAATGGGGAGAATTGCATAAGGGCTGCAATACAGATTTTCCTCAAAAGGGACTATACATGGGATATAAAGGAAAGAATGCAGGGAGGAAAGAAAGCTGTAGAACTTGGGAGGGAGGGTGAGTAACACTTGCAGGTGTTATCATGGAAAAGAGAAAGGGGTTTTAGGAGAAGGAAAAACACATTTGAAGATCCTTGCGGTTGGAGATAGTGATCAGTGAGCACTGTCCTTTTGGTTTTGATTTCTTCCTCCTAATTGCTCTGTTCTGTAGCAAAGTATTTAAATACATAAGTTAAATGTTTACTGCAAGCCAAATTAGAAGCAATAAATAGAAATAATATGGAGACAGTATCCTAAAAGAAGTGCTCTTGTAATTAAACTGAGCTTTTACCAATGTAAAAATAACATGATTGTGCTTTGCGCTTTGACCTACATCATGGATTTCATACTTTTCCCTCATTGAAAACAGATATTTTGTTTATATCTTCCAAGAATGGTAATTAAAATCTATCAGTCTTGTTCTCTTGTATATTATAATGAAATAAAAGTGTTTGTGTGCTCATGTGTGTATGTTGTGTATCTGCTCGGTGGCTGGCTACAGATACGTATGTGTATGGAACTGGGAGAGCTGAATACAGCTAAAGGAACTTGTGTAGGTATGTAATGGGGCTAGTGATCCTGTTTATGCTTTTTAAGCTCAGAGTATTTACTAATAATAGGAGGAGAGTGTTTCTTATGGACTTTCTGAAAGCATTTGAGTTGTAGAGTCATCTGCAGCTGGGCCCAGAACTTGAATGTTGCAGTAACTGGAGTTTGGTGTGTTGGTATGTTTTCTTTTTTTCTTCCAATCCCTCTGTTCTTTACTTCCACTTCTCTTCCTTTACTGTTCCCCTTCTTTTGTCCCTGTGTTCATCCAGAACTGTCCAAGTCATACTTCCGCTCATAAACATCTTGCTGTTTTCCAAGGGGTGAAAATTGTTAAGGTTTTAATTCTGGTGAATATTAAGAATGCACATTGAATTCTGTTTGCACAAGTGTGGCCCATAAGAAGGGGCAAGAAAATGCAAAAAGGCAGATATGACACAATAATTATGAATACCATAATATTAATAATAATTATCATTGCTTTCATCTCAGTTTTCACTTTTCTGTAGCTTTTTTCTTATGACAACCTGGTCCTGAAAATACTGGTTTATTCCCCTTAAGCGTATTCCAAGCAGTGTGTATTGTGATTTCGAATAGTCTCTGGTTCATTTGAATGTTCTTTTATCCACAAACCTGATGTCTCTTTCAAATGCAGTGTCTGATTTGTATTGACAATTCACTTGTAAACTGATTCTCACCACCGAGTAATCGTTCTGAATAGTGATCTGGTGGTTCATGCTTAGAAACTCAGCAATCCTGACTTCTGTTAGCATGATTCCCGCCTGATTAACGTCCTGTTCTTAAAAACATATGCAAGTTGTCCATTGTCTTCCATGTGAGGAAATCACATCCTGCCTTGCTTTGATAACTCTTCAGAGTGTAATGTCATAAACCCCAAACCTTATTGTATTGCTAGCCTGGTGTGAGACATACATTCTGTGTCAGGATGAGACATGCTTCCATAAACTCCTTGTGATTTATAATTCCTGATACGGATTGCTCTGGCCATGCAGATCTATATGGACATGTACAGTTACTTATTTTTTTCCAGTTGTTTGTGAACTATGTCTTTAATTATTGCACATATGTGCTGGAGACATTGGGAAAGATCAAAGAGGTAGGTTAGCAATTCAAACTAGTGTTTTAACCAGTAGAATGTCCAGATGGTTGCCAAGCAGCTGGGAATTAATCTTTTCCCACATGATTAATCTCTACCTCAAAGTGTGTGTTTCTTTAACAAGAAAAAGAAGCAAGTTTGATTATTTTTTTGGTCACATGTATAAATTCTTGGTTTTAAGGAGAAAAGCCATTGACTAGGAAAAGTAGGTACTGTAGCATCTTGTTGCTA